CCCCCTCCACGGCTCCCTCCTCTCCCGTCTGGCCCCTGGGGCTCTCCACAGGCCCTCCCTCCCTGCGCCCGCCCTGCAGTGCCCGGCCCTCACCACACAGCCTTGGGCCACCGCGTAGATCAGGACGACGATGAAGGTGCACAGGGCGGTGCGGATCCGGATGGTCAGGCAGCCCGGGAGGCACTGCAGGAGGGGCCTTGGTCACAGCGTCTCCCGTCCGGGGGGCTCGTCCCGGGAACACCTCCCCGTGTGGACAGGGCGGTGGCCTCCGCGGTGATCTCGCCTGGCTGGGCCCCGCCCACTCCTCATCACACACACACACACACACACACACACACGCGCCTCTTGGTGTTTCCTCACATTTAATCTCCCAGGGGAAAGATTTGCGGGGAAACCTGGTGTCTTTCCATTAAAAAGAGCAGCTCCCTCCCCCGCCCTGTGACCTCACGTAACGTTCAGTCCTCCTGGCTCATCGACGGTGAGAATTCCCATTTACGGGGGCTTCGCGCTTAAGTCTTACCATTTCCTTCAGACAGGTTTTGTACAATTTTTACTAAGTTAAACATTTTATCTTAAATCTATTCTCATTCATTTTTCAATATTCAACAATTTTATGGATAAAAGTCAGAGTTTTTTAAAAAGTCAGAGTTCTTACCTGTCCAGGTTCACACACACACACCTGGACCAGGTGAGGCACAGGGACAGGACACGTGCACACACACACCTGGACCAGGTGAGGCACAGGTGCAGGACACGTGCACACACATACCTGGACCAGGTGAGGCACAGGGACAGGACACGTGCACACACACACCTGGACCAGGTGAGGCACAGGTGCAGGACACATACCTGGACCCGGGTGATATGCAGGTACAGGACACAGGCCACCAGGAAGCAGATGCAAAACACCAGCAGGAGCAGGACAGCCACGCTCCTAGGACAGAGGCGCGTGGTCACTCGGGCTGGGCCGGCGGCGTGTGCCCCAGAGGTGCCTGGGCGTTG